ATATATATAGTCTACTTCCTGACGAGGCAATTTTTATAAAGTTAAAATCTTTAAAATTTTAATTATTTAAAGCGTTTTGTTCTTTTATTTGTTGTGTTGGGATATGTTGCTACATTTTTTAACTTTTTGAGCTGGAACTTTTAAAGAACATTATTATGAAAGGGGATCCAAGATGTTGGTGATATAGGTGGGAGGTACACCCACCTCCTCCCAGGACCAAACAATTAAATACAGAGCAATCAACCTGAATAACCAACTGAAGACCAGCTGAAGAGAAGTCTTATAACCAAGGATTTACAGAAGAGTCCACATCAAGACTCGAGACTCGTAGGAAGTGCAGAGAGCAAAAGGACTGACCCTGCTCCCACAGGCGGCAATTGAGGTTCCAGGGGAGTATCTCAGCTGCAGGGGGATTCCCTGATAAGTATGGGGTCTTAAGCCCAAGCCAGGCTCCCCAGCCCGGAGCACCAGAGCCAGGAAGAGCTGCCCATATAACATCTGGCTGTGAAAAGCAGCGGGATTTCTGTCTGCCAGGGAGAGGCAGGATTCAGGCAAATTTTGTTGCATGGCTCTTGGACAGGGGAAATTTTTTCCTCACACATCCAACTGGTGCAGAGCCTTCCTTTCACAGGGCCAAATCTTGGCTTGTTTAGGCCTCATAAACTCTGCTGGCCTCACCCTGACGACTCCCTGAGACCCTGCCCACCACAAAGGTGTGCGAGCACCCAGCAGGACAGCTAGACTTGGTATACCCTGGGACATTTGCTGAGTGTTCTCCGACCCAGCTCTGGCACCATGATTGGACTCATATAGATATGGAGAACACCTCTCACCTTGTCACTCACTAAGAACCTGTTGCATGTAACTCGAGTACTGCTAGAGGCCCTTTCAGTGACTGAGCCTAACAGTTGGAGGCAGATGGAGGCAGACCTGGAGGTTCCTAGCGACTTTCGCTGACTGGCCCCTAGGTACAGTGCTGTTATAAGTAAGCCTTGGTGCACAGCTTAATCCTTCCCGAGCACACTCAAGCCCAGGATAGGCAGCCATAAACTATGAATCACTTTGCAGCTTTAAACAGGTTGCCCAGGGCCAGTCATTGGCAGCGTCTGACATTGACCTGTACCAGAGTCCCTCCCAAGAGGCCCCAGATCCAGTATACCCAGTGTCAGTGTCAGACAACATCAGAGCAGGATTCAATTAGCTTCAAAAGCAGCATATCCAAAGATCTCAGTAGGCACCAGATTCTACTGAGGCAAATTCCACTCTGAGTGGTCAGCACCTGCACAGCAGCTCATGCTCTGTGGTCAGGATCGATCCTCACAGCCAGTCTAAGGGTTGACCCCACACATGAATGGGCCAGTAGCAGTCGAGACAGTTACAACAGGAGGGCCCACATAATTCCCACAAGGGACACTTCTGGAGCATCCAGCTCAGGTGATCAAGGACTCTGTGCCACAAGATCCCACAGGACACCTATTAGGGAAGACCACTCTACCAACACAGAGTCATAGTAGATCTACCTAATATGTAGAAGCAAACACACAGAGGCAGACATAATGGGGAGACAAACCTGCCCCAAATGAAAGAACAGGAAAAATCCCCAGAAAAAGCTAAATGAAATGGAGGCAAGCAGTTTACCAGATACAGAGTTCAAAATGGCTATAAGAATGCACAAGGGACTTAGGAGAAGAATGGATGAAATCAATTAGGACTTAACCTAAAAGATAGTAAACATAAAAGGCACATAGAAACCATAAAAAAGAACCAGTCAGAAATGAAGACTACACTAGAAGAAATAAACAGAAGGTTGGATGATGAAGAGGATCAAAGCAGTTTGGAAGACAAGGTAAAAGAAAACACCCAACCAGAGCAGCAAAAGAACACTATTATAGAAAATTTTAAGTATGTATAGCATACATAATCTCACATGTACTAATCACCAACTTCTAATAGTTACCAACATTTTGCCAATCTGGTTGAATATAAACATTTTGGCATTAGAATGTAGTAAGATATGCATTAAAGAAATCAGGACTTGTCTGGCCAGCATGGCTCAGTGGTTGAGTGTCGACCTATGAATCAGGAGGTTGTGGTTTGATTCCCAGTCAGGGCACATGCCCAAGTTGCGGGCTCGATCCCCAGTGGGGGGTGTCTAGGAGGCAGCTGATCAGTGATTCTCATCATTGATGTTTCTATCCCTCTCCCTTCCTCTCTGAAATCAATAAAAATATATTTTCAGAAAAGAAGAAATCAGAACTTAAATATTACATGCTTTACTGGGCTCCTGAGGTATTTTTAACTGAATATTTGCTTTAACTTCTGTTAATGTTGCCTTTTCTATTTGAATAGGAAATCTCATTTTTCTTTTCTGGGTTGAAACAATTACCCAGATGCAAAAGTAAAATTGTAAAATTATTGAAAATTTTTTTGCTATATTCTATATAATAAAGCCTAATGTGCTGTGTGTCTGGTCAACCGGTCAACCAATCAAAGTGTAATATGCTAATGATATGCTAAGGCTGCTCAACTGCTTGCTAAGATGTGCACTGGCCACCAGGGAGCAGACAGTTGTTCGGTCGACCAGTTGATATGATGTGCACTGACCACCAAGGGGCAGACACTCCTACCCGTAGGTTAGCTTGCTGCTGGGTTCCTGCTGATCAGGACTGAGCGAGACGGGCCGGACACACCCTGGAACCCTCCCGCAGTCCCTTCCTGGCTGGCCAACCTCCGCTTCTCTCCCTGGCCTGATCATACACTGGTGAGATCCCTTGGCCTGGCCTGCACCCTCTTGCAATCTGGGACCCCTCGGGGGATGTCGGAGAGCCAGTTTTGGCCCGATCCCGCAGGCCAGGCTGAGGGACTCCACTAGTGCACGAATTCATGAACGAGTCTCTAGTTAGAAAATAATTAAAGTAACTAGACTCATTTGATACCAAGTTGAGTGAAATGTTTCAGACATAGATCTTGCAAATTTTTGGACTTTTTGAAGCATCTCAATCCCTAATATTACAAAACGTTTGTCTTTGGTTTTATCAGTTATAAGAAACCTACTTTAACAACTTGAAACAACCAATGTGGAAGAATGAACATTCTCCACTCTTGTTGCTAATGTATTATGTCATTTGTTAGGCAACTTAGAAATGGTACATTATTCATGGCAAGATAGGCAGGACCTTTTGTGGCAAGTGTTACATATACAGGGTCCTCAGTTAAGATAGGGAAATAAGGATATGTTCAGTGAAGAGGCTGAAGATGGTGGAAAGTTTCGGGAAATAAGTTGGGATAAAGAAAAAGCAATGAGCAGTTACAGAGTGAGAACACAGGAAAGGATAAACAAGTAAAGGGCATACATTTTGGATAGTGACAATGACGACAGATTTTAGCTGACAGTGATTATTGAAGAATGTTTCCACATTGTTTTTGTGGGTGAAGTTAGGGAACACTCAGCTGAGCCCTGAGTTTTAGAGCACTGCTGAGGGAGTCCATGGTGGATTGAGAGAGAGTTTCATCTAGATCGATGGGTGGACTCTGGCACAGTATCCAGGATTGAGCCTTTAAGGGAGTGGAGTGGTTACAGGTCTCATTACAGAGTAGTAGTTGATGCCAGTAGTTGGCACTTGTTTCAACTCAGAACCAACTGTGTATCTGTGTCCTCCAACAGATAACTTGAGATGCATGGTTAAGAGGCTAGCTGAAAAAAAAAAGTACTTAAAATCTCATACTTGAGGAAAGACTTTAAATGTTGAATGTTTTCTATAAAACATGAAATGCTGAAAATTAGGCCTTGTGATACATTTTACCTAGACCAGGGGTGGGCAACCTTTTTGTGAGTTCGTGCCAAAACCAGCAAAATCTCTGACTCAAAATTCTTCTGCATGCCAGCCCTAATTTTTTGAGAACATGTACGCCTACTTGGTATCTCTTAAGGTGTGTGTATGTGAAGAACCTTGAAGAAATAATAAAATTCATTCGAGCGACAAAAACACAGTATATGATGATGAAAAATAATTTATTTTTTAATGTATACATGTTATGTAAAATTATTTATCTAAGATGCACCTACACTGAATTTATCTGAAAAATAAAAAAGTCGATATTAAGAAAAAAATTGTAAATGGAAGATTCTGAGAGGGTTTCACGTGCCAGCAAAAGTTACTGGCGTGCCATGTTTGGCACGCATGCCAGGGGTTGCCCACCTTGGCCTAGACATATTAAAGTTAGTGTTAATATGACTAGTCATTAGAGGGTAACAGAGACTAACTGCCTTATTTCATTGAAGGATTATTGGAAGTGTACTTCGTGCAATGAAATGAATCCTCCCCTGCCATCACATTGCAACAGATGTTGGGCCCTTCGTGAGAATTGGCTTCCTGAAGACAAAGGGAAAGAAAAAGGAAGCGTGCCTGAGAAAACCAAACTAGAAAACCCAACACAAGTGGAAGAGGGCTTTGATGTCCCTGATTGTAAAAAAAGTACAGTGAGTGATTCCCAAGAATCATGCGTTGAAGAAAATGATGAAAAGATCACACAAGCCTCCCTATCCCAAGAAAGTGAGGACTATTCTCAGCCATCGACTTCTGGTAGCATCATTTATAGCAGCCAAGAAGATGTCAGAGAGTATGAGAGGGAAGAAACACAAGACAAAGAATGTGTGGATTCTAATTTTCCCAATAATGCCATCGAGCCTTGTGTGATTTGCCAAGGCCGGCCTAAAAATGGTTGCATCGTCCATGGCAAAACAGGACATCTTATGGCATGCTTTACATGTGCAAAAAAGCTAAAAAAAAGAAATAAGCCCTGTCCAGTGTGTAGACAACCAATTCAAATGATTGTGCTAACTTATTTCTCCTAGTCGACCTACCTATAAATTTTTTTAAACAAAATTTAGAAATGAAATTTTATTTTTTTACATTTATAAAAACAAGAAATTATCATAGGGGACCCTTTCCCCCCTCCCCACTTGGGAGTCCATTCTGTGGGACTCTCCCTCTCAACACATGGGAGTCTGTACTTGTTCTTCGATAAGTCTCCACCTTTGCTATACTACTCTCTGTCCATGGATTCATTCTTCGACTCTGGCGGTCAAAGAATCCAGGTTCCAGTCCAAAAATTCCGTTTCACCAGGCTGGCGGGGGACCAGCTCCTGTCACCATGGTAAGACACATTTTCATTCCTCAGTCTTTAATGAGCTAGGCCAGTGGTTGGCAAACTGGGGCTCACGAGCCACATGCGGTTCTTTGGCCCCTTGAGTGTGGCTCTTCCACAAAATACTTCTGCGCATGGGCCACAAAGTTTCAATCGTACTGTACATGCGCGCCCGCTCGTGGTATCTTGTGGAAGAGCCACACTCGGGGCCACAGAGCCGCATGTGGCTAGCTAACTGCAGTTTGCCGACCACTAGGCTAGTAGGAGTCAGGCCCCCAGAGGAGCTGTCCCTGGGACTTGTGCGGGAGGGCGTCGGGAGTCCTCTCAGGTGTGGGCCCCTTCTCACCACATTGTCCAGACAATTCGCTTTGCTACTTTTCCGCAGGCCGCCCCATTTCTTTCTTTATTCTTGTTCTTTCGCCCATTTCTTTTGGAGCCCCTGGTCTTTCTGAGGTCTGAGATCTCTACAAGACTTGACCAACCCCCTCCGCCCAAGTTGTAACTTTCCAAATCCGCTGAAGGCTGAGGGCTGGGGTGGGAGAGGAAGTGGGTGGGAGTCAGGACAAAGAAGGGCGAAGACTCAGGCGCGGCTCTGGGTTCTCCCTCAAGTCTGTTTCCAGACCTTTCCCCGGAAAACCACACGACCAGGCCCCTCTCATCCACTCATTCCCCGGGGCCTGGTGAAGGAAGGGAGGGTGGACTGGAAGGGCGTGGCCAGCCCCAACTACAGCCAATCCCCGGGGGAGCTGGTAGGAGGTTGGGCATCACGGGGAGGGGCGTGGATCCACAACTTCAACTCAGCTGGACCAATCCCGACCCCAGAGGCGAAAGGGACACCCTACCTGGGCCCAGGTGGGCTCCACTGTGCGTCTCTCAGTGGTTCCGCGCCCGGGATGGAGTTAGCCCGGCGGCATCCGGAGGAGACCAAGCCGGGGCCGAGTTGCCGATGGAGCCCTTGGAAAGCCAGGTGCCGGGGCTGGCGCAGCCGCAGGTCCCCGCGGAGGAGCGACGACCAGAAAGTCCCGGGAGCAGCCCGGCCGCAGCCGTGCAGGTGGCGACCGGCGCGGGCCAGGACCTCTCGGGCGGGAAGAAGCTGCCCTCGCCTCGCCCCGCGCGCCTGCGGGTGCTGCCCGCCAGCGTCGGCTACGGCGCCTTCCGCCGCCAGTTGTCCGCTGGCCCCGAGCAGCCCGGGGATGGCGAGGCGGCGGGAACCGAGCTGGTGCCCAGGGCCGCGCCGGGGGGAGCCGGCGCCCGGCAGCTGGGCGCCCACGGAGCTGCAGGTGGACGTGTGCGTGAAGCCCGTGGGTGCGGCCGGCGGCAGCCGCGCGCCTCGCCTGCGCCCTCGGGCGCTTCATCACCGTCCCCGTGCCCGAGTCCCCGCCTTCTCCCGCCACGTCGCCCCAGTGTACCAGCTCCTGCCGCGGACCGCGTCCTTGGGCAGCACGTGGAGCCGCTGCTGGCCACTGGCTGCCGCCCCGGGCGGAGCACCGCCTCGCGGAGGGCCAGACCAGCCCCACGGAAGGGGGCGCGGAGTCTCCGGGCTCCCCCACGTGCCGCTGCCGCTGCCAGGAGATGGGGAAGGAGGACGCCGCGCTGCGGCAGCTCGCCGAGGTGCACGGCGGCCTGAAGCTGCACGGGGCTATAAAGCTTACAGGGCTGCCCATGTATATACATGAAGTCCCTGCGCTGGGCCCTGGTGGTCATGGCCGTGCTCCTGGCAGTGTCCACGGTCGCCATTGTGGCCCTGGCCTCTAAAACAGGAGCGGGGTGCCGGCCGTGTCCCCATGGCTGGCTGTGGTCTGGGGAGCACTGTTACTGCCTCTCTACTGAAGCTCAAGCCTGGGAGGCCAGCCAGGCTTTCTGCGCCGCCCACCGTACTACCCTCCCCCTGCTGAGCCACACCCAGGACTTCCTGGGCAGATACCCTGTCACCAAGTACTCCTGGGTGGGGGCCAGGTGAGGCCCCCAGGGCTGGCACTGGATCAGTGGGGCCCCCTGTCACCCCAGCTACCCCAGAGGAAGACAAGGACCAACCGGGTCTGAAGTGCTCGGCCTGGAGAGAGGCAAGCTCGTGGCTTTGGACTGCGCTTCTTCAAGACCCTGGGTCTGTGCCCAGGGGACCAAGTGACTGAGGTTCTGCCCATTCCAACCATGTTGGGGCATACAGTTCCCCCCCAGGGGGGCCTATTCCCTGGACCCACGCTCCCGCTGCTCCCTGCTCGGTGCCTGGGGGCCCTGCCTGAGCGAAGTGGGGAGCTGTGCCTCTGTTGCAGGAAGATCACCTCGGGGAAGGCTTTCTGTGGCCCATCTTCGCCTCCAGCTGCTGAAGAGGATTTGTTCAGAGACCTTGAAATGGTGTCTTTTTTCTTTTCTTTTTTTTTTTTTTTTTGCATTTCTGAGCCTGTTCTCCTCATAAAAATGGCCATTACCCATTCTCTCCCTTACCTGCTTAATCACAATGCACCTTTCAGTCCTAGAGGAACGGAAAGGATTAGTGGTCACAGGTGAGCCCCACCTGAGTGGACATCGAGCCATGAAATGAGTGTTCCACTGGTTTGTGGCTAGAGGGCTTGTCAGCAGTGACATCCTTGCTATAAATGCCATTTCCAGGCAGAGAGGCACACAGCTGACGACCCGTGTCACAGCAGGTGAGAAGTGGTGGCCCCCGAAGGAGGAAGAGGGAGGTTGCACACTGATGGCCAAGGCTGGGGCGATGCAGAGGAGAGGACGACCATGGTAGGTGAAGTTCCTGCAAAGCATGGGGTCTGACAGGAGGCTGTACCTGCATCTAATCTTGGTGCTGAGCAATCCACACAACTGTGATACTAAAGCATAGTAGTCCCTCCTTTGGAAAACTGCTGTTTAAAACTGATGTTTAAACTACTTTGTTATTTTTAGACAGTCCCTTGTTCTATAGGTCAAACTCTTATTTTTAGACAGTCCCTTACTTTGTAAAATAACTGTTTTAGATATGTATTTGTTTTCGCTTTGTTGTTCATAATTTTTATCTTTACCCCTTTCTTCTTCTTCCTCTTCTTAAAGAATACCCTTCAGCATTTCATATAATCCTGGTTTGGTGGTGATGAACTCCTTTAGCTTTTCCTTATCTGTGAAGCTCTTTATCTGACCTTCAATTCTACATGATAGCTTTGCTGGGTAGAGTAGTCTTGGTTGTAGGTTCTTGGTATTCATCACTTTGAATATTTCTTGCCACTCCCTTCTGGCCTGCATGGTTTCTGTTGAGAAATCAGTTGACAGTCGTATGGGTACTCTCTTGTAGGTAACTGAGTTTCTTTCTCTTGCTGCTTTTAAGATTCTCTCTTTGTCTTTTGCTCTTGGCATTTTAATTATGATGTGTCTTGGTGTGGTCCTCTTTGGATTCCTTTTGTTTGGGGTTCTCTGCGCTTCCTGGACTTGGAAGTCTATTTCTTTCACCAGGCGGGGGAAGTTTTCTGTCATTATTTCTTCAAATAGGTTTTCAATATCTTGCTCTCTCCCTTCTGGCACCCCCATAATTCAGATGTTGGTACGCTTGAAGTTGTCCCAGAGGCTCCTTACACTATCTTCGTATTTTCGGATTCTTTTTTTATTTTGCTTTTCCGGTTGGGTGTTTTTTGCTTCTTCGCATTTCCAATCTTTAACTTGATTCTTGCACTCCTCTGGTCTGCTGTTGGGAGTCTGTATAATATTCTTTATTTCAGTCAGTGTATGCTTAATTTCTAGTTGGTCCTTTATCACAACATCGAGGGTCTCATTAGATTTCTTGTACATCTCATTAAGTTTATCGGCAGACTCTAGAAGACTCTTGAAAGACCTCAAAAGTGTGGTTTTGAATTCTATATCCAGCAGCCTGCTTTCCTCCAGTTCTGTCATTTGTGTCCTGTTTCTTTGTCTCGGCATTTTTTTATGCTTCGCTGTGTCGATAGAGTGGCTTTCTGTGCTAAGTGTCCCAATTACCTGAGGTAGACACTCTTGGTGCACCCCCTTGTGGTCTTTGTGTGCAGTCTTGTTGTAGCTAAGCCTTGATTGTTGTAGTTATCACTGGGAGGGATTTGACCTCCAGGCCAACTGGCTGTGAGAATCAGCTGTGTCTGCAGGGGGAGAACTTCTGTCCTCTAGGGAAGTGCTAATCTAGCCTTTGCCTTAGGCTATCCCACAAATGCCTCTGTGCAGGGCTTGGGCGGGGCGGGTCCCAGGGGATCTACAGGGCAGGTGGAGCGAGCAGTTATGGCTGTTCTCAGTCCCGTCCCCAGAGGCTCTGCCTCTCAGTGTCCCAGCAACCGCTGCAAACCTCGGAGAGAAAGCTGCCCTCGAGATCCGACCGATGCCAGACAGTCCCGCTTCTCCCGTTTGAGTCTGGGTCCCTAGAGACTCACCCGGAACTGGAGCTCAGAGCCTGAGACTCCCTCCCAATTGAAACCGACAAACGCGCCCTCAGCCGCCAGCCCGCTCCGCGCGCACCTCTGCACCTTAGTATTTCACTTCCGCACTGCGCCTCCTCTGAGTCTCAGTGTGCTTTTCTCTTTCCTTCTAGTTGTGGAATTTCCACTCAGCCAGCCTTCCTGTGGTTCTGGGTGATGTCCGTTCCGTCTTTTAGTTGTATTTTTGAAGTGGTTGTGCGAGGCAGCAATCTCCGGTGTTTACCTATGCCGCCATCTTGGTTTCTCTCGCAAATTTAAATGTTGAAGTCTATCTAAAATATACTAGGAAATTTCTGCAAATGAATTCTCTTTTGTAAATAAGAAAACTGTTCCCAATTTATTTTCTAAATTGAAAGAGTTATCACTTTTAGAAATTGGTACCTGTAAATTAGCTGTTTCCTACTGGCCTTTTCTCATTTAAACTTAACTATTTTTAGCATGTTTCCGAGGGCAGACATACTCAAGCCCAATTTCTCTGTGACTAGAAATTTGTATCGGGTTGCATGGACATAGGGTAAGGGCTATTTTCCAATTCCTGTAGGAGGCAAGTTACAAGTATGCTCTGTGTTTCAAAAGTACTTTATTATTTAGGACATTTATTTATTTATTTAGCAATTAGGACTAAAGACTTCTTTCTGTATCAGCATTTCCCAAAATGTGTTTGGAAATCTAGGAAAAGTAAGCTCAAAGTGATGGTACTGGGCTAAATTATTTATGAATGGTTCCGTGGCTCAGTATGTTTGGGAAATCCTATTTCTTTGTTGTATGATTTCTCAGACCTTTTTTTTTTTTTTAATATATTTTATTGATTTTTTACAGAGAGGAAGGGAGAGGGATAGAGAGTTAGAAACATTGATCAGCTGCCTTCTGCACGCCCCCTACTGGGGATGTGCCCGCAGCCAAGGTACATGCCCTTGATCTGAATCTAACCTTTCAGTCCGCAGGCCGACGCTCTATCCACTGAGCCAAACCGGCCAGGGCTCTCAGACCTTTTAACTACATTCATGTGCATTGTGAATTTTCCAGTTTTTTTGTTTTGTTTTTACCAGAAGACACACTTTTCATTATCTACCCCATGGTACAAATTAATTTGGAATATAACATTAGGGTGAGTATCCTATATAATAAAAGCCTAATATGCAAATAAACCGAATGGCGGAACAACTGGTCACTATGATGTGCACTGACCACCAAGGGGCAGATGCTCAATGCAGGAGCTGCCCCCAGCCCACAGGCCCCAGGCCAGCCAAGGCGGGTGCCAGTGGGGGACCCCCCCCCCCCCCATCACCCTGATCACCCACAGATCAGCCCTGATCGCTGGCCAGGCCTAGGGACCCTACCCATGCACAAATTTCATGCACTAGGCTTCTAGTATATCATAAAGTTATGAAAGAACTACCTGGGCTTTGAAGAGTTATAGTATTGCTTCATAAAGGGTCATTAAATCTGGTCTTTACCAGACTTTATTTGGTGGCAATCAGTTCTCTAGTATGTGGACTTTGTTACACTTGTGTAAGTATTTGTTTTCAAGGTAGTGTAATGGAAAGAAACAGCATCCATGGTTTACATGAATATTAATTTATTGAGAATAAGATACATTTTAGATTTACTGAGTTCAGAGGTAGTCATGGCCAATACCCAATAAAAGTTTACATTCTTAATTTGTACACTTAAAGTTCTTAATTAGAAAGTCACTGAGAAAACTTCAAAAATCATTTAGAGATATCTATAAAAGACTGTGGAATAGTTAATATGCTAAAGCATGATAAAAGTTTGTAAGTAATACAGTACAATACCTGCTTGTTGGTGACATAAAGTATATAATAAAGTTAGACTTTCCCCAAACTTCTGTTTTAGGTGTTATTAACTTTTTTGTTTCTCTTTAACCATTTTCTCCCTCTCTCTCAATCTAAAGTCATGAGGAAGGTATAAGGGATCTGTCATAAAATAGGCATTAACTGTGTTTTCACTGTGTACAATAAGAATCAAACTTCTCAGGGAGCAACTTATCCTGTTGCCGTGAGACAATATGCTAGGCTCATTTTTCTGGATTTCCAAGGAAACGCTATTTCCAATCAAGTGCCAGATATTTTTACTTTCTACAGGTACAACATGCAAAACTGCTTCTGGAACAAAACATCAAGTACATCCAACCACTCAAGTCTGAATGTGGTAAATGAGGCACCAAAATTAACACTGACACTTACCTGCAGGGATTTAGCAACATTTCTTTAAAGATTCACTCATGTTTACATAATTCGAGTACCTACATCGGAAAAACTGTTACTTCATGCAAGTTTCCTTAAGTGTAATTAAATGAACATTCTAGCTAACCAACGTTTCATTTGTTTTCAGACCAATTCTGTTTGTATCTGAGGCAAAAGACTTGGTCCTGGATAAGTCACACAGCCTTCAAAATATTGACCACTTGCGTGTTAATTATCCTTCCTCCACCCGGCAAGCACCAAAGACAGCACCAGTGCGGCCCTCACACTGCCGCTTCTGACGGTCACAGAATCAGGCAGGCAGAGGCCTCCACTTTACAGGTAAGGGAACTGAATGCAGGGTGGGCTTGCACCCAGGGCTCCCACCTAAGTGTCATTTTACTGCCACCTGCTATCTTTTCTTCTATCTTGAAAACCTTTACCATATCGGTTTCTCTATGAAAGGAGTTATATCTGAACTTAGAACCTGAGGAACGTAGGAGGGTGGGAATAGTAGGGAAGCTGTTCTGCAGGGAGATGTGGGGATCTGGTCGGAATTCCATAGTTTTTTCTCCTCTTGGACACTTGGCTGGATTAGTGGAGGGTGTAGCTATACTTACTAACTCTTGCTACAAACCGTAGGGCATTGCTGAAAATATGTACCCCAAACCTGCTCAGAATTAAGTTCAGGTTTGGCGTGGATTCGGCTTGGAGATTATTTTAATTGTTTTGCTCATCTCTAAATAACTTTGATTCTGATAAAATTTCTGATTTAAAAAACATTTCCTTAACATTATGGCTCATGAACCAATTCAGATTTTGGTTCATGTTTCTTCAAAAATTGCTACCATAATTTTGTTCATCAATGTCACCCTAATAAATTTAATTTAAAAATTAACAATAAAAGAGTAAAGAATAAGATTAAAAAGGAAAAAAATTTGCTGTCTTGGGAAAGGAAAAGTTAGAACTCAGAATGCCTGATTGAAAAATTCTTTAGGGCTAAATGGCAAATCAAGGCAAATTTCATATACTTTTATATGTAATATACCAAATCATTTTCTGTAATATATTAACATATGCTTTCAAGTATAATAAGTTATGGTTTATTTAAATAAAAATGATCAAGATATTTAGGTTATTGCCAGATTTTAAAGAAGTGAGTAAAAGATTATAAATTTTGTTTATATTAAACATGTGTGATTTTGTATAGACAGAATAAGCTTGGCATGAGAATAGATCCTAAATGCCCATGTTCCTCCCATTCATGTATGGTTCTCAAGCATTCACCATGTTCCAAGCCAAGTATAGTTTCATTTTCTGTTTGATACTTCCCCTTATATAATGTTTTAAGTTAGGTTAACTGTCATTATAGTTGAGAATAAATGCTTCATATTGAGTACTAATGATAAAAATTTTGTTTTCCAATAATAAAAAAGGTAGCCTTAGAGTTAATAGGTAACATACCTTTACTATGAAGCTTAGGATAAATGCAAAGTCCAGTAAAAGCACCGTATTTGAATTTATTTCTTGATACATATATGAAAACACTCTTCTGTCAGCATTACTAGGAACCAGAAATTGCCAAAGTATGGGATCTAGTTTAACTCAAAGCCCTATACAGTTTCTGGGAGAGACTGGGAGTAGCAGATTGCTGGAACCCTTTGTTCATTCATTCAACTTCTAATATGTTCTCTGAGGATATAAAAATGCATTTTTTAAACAAATTAGCCCCTCGGTCCCAAAGAGCTCACTCTACTAGAGAAAACTCGTACCTGGAAGGAGAAGATTATAACACAGTGTTATAATAGTAGAGGTAACCTGTTCTATTTGGGGAGCAAAGAGGAGGGTTCCCAGATTGACTGGGAGGAGGTGAGATGGAAAGGAATGGAATGATGGTCAGCAAAGGCTTCCTGGAGGAGTCGATGCCTAAACTGAGTTGTAAAAGAGGGAGGAGACAGAAAGTGTGGGTCAGAATGGCATTCCAGGCACAGGGACACAGCAGGAAATTAGGTGTCAGTAGGTTGTTGACTTTTGTTTTAAAGAGACCCCCTTCCCCAGTGCCATGTGGAGGATGGATCTGAAGAGGAGGAAGCTGGGAGCAAGTGACGGTACAGCTGTTGCAGTGGTGCAGGTGAGCTGTGACGGTTGGAACTTGGCAGTGTTAGTAGTCCTGGAGGGAGGGTAGAATCGATAATTATAGTCTTTAGTGATTGATGGAATATATGGGATGACAGAGGAGGACGAAGTGTCAAGGAGAACTCCCAGGTTTGGTGGTACCAGGAATTGAGACAGGATACAGGAGGAAGAGCAGCTCTAGGGAGAAAAGTATGTTCCATTTTCGCACGAGTTTGAGGTACCTCTGGTCACATCCAGGTGGATATATATCCAGTGGGCAGTTGGATGTGAGTCTGAAGCTCAGGCAAGAGGCTAGACTTACACATTTGGGGGTTATCAGCATGACGGAGGACTGTGGCATCCAGGTGCAGAACGGCAGGGACACTTAAATGACCCATATTTTTGGGACTCTGTAGGCAACACCTTGTCATCCTATTAGGCCCATATTTTCTGGGGCCACTGAGACATGGCTGTCTATTTTCTCTCATATTTCCTTAGAACATTTGCAAAGCTAAATATTCCCAGTCTTATCATTTTTCCCTGTCCTGAGAACTAATGATATATGGCACTATCTCTTCATATATAGCACTCATAGCAAGTTCTTGTATATGATAGGTGATCAATAAATGTTCATGTTCATTGCTTATATTCATCTGTCTCTCTGTATCCAGAATTAGCTTGTTTTTATTCTTCTTCTTGCAGGAGCTTCATTTTTGCTCCTCAAGTTTAACTTCTTACAAATTTCTAAGATGACTTTAAAATGAAGTGTAAGTGGGCAGTACTTGATAGGTGGGTGTCTTCTAGTCATCATCAAAACGAAATCATTCCTTTCGTTATCACCACACATTTCTCATTACAGGATTTAACCATTTGTCTTCTTAGGGAAGGACGGTGGCGTTTGGCCATTTGTCTCACAGAGGGAGTTAGATTTGCAGTAACCTGGCGTGTGTAATCCCTGATTCCAGGTGGTGATGGGGTTGAGTTTCACATTTTGCTTTATTTGAACAATATGTGAAAAAGAGTCACTAAAAATAAGAACAGACTAGGCTTTGTTGCGGCCGAGTGGCTTGGCAAAATACTGTACAGAGGAATCATAGGACATGAAGGATTTGATACTAGGATAGAATCCAATTGCCCTCTGAGTGGAAATACAATATCCTTTTTAAGAGCACTGAAGTCCTGGGATTTTTTTGGGATAATCACCTTTGTGAGGTGTGGCTCTTGTCCAGGGACTGTAACCTGAGAAGAAACAAGAAACAGTTATCTGAATGATTTCAGATGTTTTGTGGTGCAAACACTAATATCCACCACTCAAATGCTGCCTTTATGAAACACATAGAACAACCTGCCAGGCCTCCCAGGCTAGTAACCACTTCAGTTCTGCTCATTGAAAGAGTTACCCAAAGTCTGTTGATATGGACCACAGTTGTTAATGCTGTTGCCAAGAATTACAAAGTGACATAAAGACAGGTCCTTCATCTAGAGGTGTAAGTCAGCAGGAGGAAGCGGTAGACTGATCCTGTCCCATCATTTTCATGGAGATGAAAGGTAAAGAGCTGTTTCTCTTGTCCCAAGTCTGTACTTGATATCCTGGTTGGGTATCAAGATCCTTTGTAAGTGGGATTATTATTTTCTTAATTTATTCCATTTCCTTACAGCTGATCTAAGTGTACAAGTTTACTGTTTCCTTATAAAGCTTTAATTTTACCTGGTTTTGTTCATGTGTGTCTGAATCTTTAGCTAGACTTTTTGTTGTTGTTGGGGGAAATGATCAGGAAAAATAGAACAAATGCTAAACTAATTATAGATCATGTCCACTGAGAGATGCTTTTAATATATATGGTGAAGAGAGAGAAGAATGGAACATTTACATAACCATTAATTAGTATGTATTTTAGCCATTCATTTCCATTTCCAAAGTCTAGCCTTGCAATCTTGTCCTAGAACTAGTAGGTAAAGCCAACATGTACTGTATTGGTCTAATTGGAAATGAACTATTCATAACTATTCTATGAAGGTGTGGCTTACTTATGGGATTACATAAAAGTCATTTACTACAAGGAAACCCCCTCCCCCCATAGAATGGAAATGTCACCGCACATGACAGGAAAATAAAGGGCCTTTTTTATACAAAGAGTCACAGTGAGTTGAGGTTTCCAGCTCTAGCCACTCAGTAGGAGGAGAGATTCTTAAAAGGATTAGCAATTGATGAGCCCCGCTGCTAGGCACTGTAGGAATAACCTGTGGAGCAGGGAGGCTCTGAATTCTATAGTTTTATAAACTGAAAGCCATGCCTTTACTATGTCCTGAAGATGAAATAATGAAATGCAAAGCCAGTTTTTCCTACAGAACAGACTACCTTCTCCTAGGAGTAGCTCTACTCAGAACAACTGCTACTCTTGACATTAGACCCACTAAGCAAAGTGGAGAATCTTGAATTTCTTAGAGGAAAGTCATATCATCAAAGAATAAGAAACACAATCTGGACAACTAAATCAGACACTTATTCATTTAGTTCATTTACATAAGCTTACCTGGGCTCAAACCAGTGCATGCTTCCTACCAGGAAGAAATGACTCAGAAACATGCATCTTAAATTAAAATTAAAACCTGAACTTCTACTTGCATTGGTTGGAAAACTTATCATTGCTTTTGAAAGGTCTGCAAAATATGTCTATCGCTTAATATAGTGCTAAATTTTGTGCATCAAATTTTACTTATAATGAATCCTAAGGAAATTGTGTTCAAATATATATATATATATATATATTTTAAAGTATATTTTCATTGATTTCAGAGAGGAAGAGAGAGAGAGAGAGAGAGAGAGAGAAACATCAATGATGAGAGAGAATTATTGACTGGCTGCTTCCTGCATACCCCCTGCTGGGGATGGAGCCCATAACCCAGGCATGAGCCCTGACGGGGAATCAACCGACCTCCTGGTTCATGGGTCAGCGCTCAACCACTGAGCAACACTGGCCGGGCCAAATCTATTTTTTAATAGCAGAAATGATGTCTCATGAAATGGGCATTAAAATGGTATTTCATAAAGCTTGCAAGTATTCTAGCTACATTGTTTAATTATTATTAATGAGGTTTTTTTCTCTTTTTTTATCATAAAAAGTATCACAAGAAATAGGATTTAGCCTTTATTAAAAATATTAACTGCCAGTTGGGAAAAAAACAAGTTTTTTTTGGTTTGTTCCTATCATGCTCACCTCTCTCAGTCCCGGCCACAGGCAGGTCTGATGTTGTCTATTCCTTTGTCCTCATGTCCTACTTTTGGACTTGCCAGACATATTTTATATTCCTTCTAGGTGAGTGAGTATTGTGAATTTTATAGTATTTTAATACCAATAACTAGAACTGTGTACTTACATTTAACGTATATGAGCCAGGCAAGAGAAGGAGGTAATACTCTCCAAATTTGTTGGTTTTATAGGGGCAGATATGTTTTCTGTCTTGTACTTCTACAATCACATTGGGTAATGGATTTCCCTTTTGATCAAAAACTTGACCCTTTATACCTGTAAGGCAAAACGAGAATTAAATGTTAATACTATGTATTATGGCATATGAAAAAAATTTCTTGTAATTACTTAAGTAAAATATGCCCAATATTTATGAGCTGTTTTAAAATAATAAAATGTTTGAGAAGAAAAACTTTTAAAAAAATTGAGATATAATTGACATTTAACATACTAGTTTCAGGTATGCAACATAATGATTTGACGTATGTATATGTTGTGAAATGATCACCACAATATGTCTAGTTAACAGTTACAATTTTTTCCTTATCATGAGAACTTTTAAGATTTACTCTTAGCAAATTTCAAATTACAATACAGTATTCTTAACTATATTCACCACACTGCACTACATCTCCAGGACTTAATTTATTTTTGAACTGAAAGTCTGTACCTTTTGACCACACATTTCTCCCACCCCCTGCCTCTGGCAGCTACCAAGGTGTTCTCGGGATCTCTCTGTCTGACTTATTTCACTTAGCATCACACCTTCAAGGTCAATCCATGTTGCAAGATTTCACCCTTTTTCTATGGCTGGATAATGTTCCATAGTAAATATATACCACATTTTCTTTATTCATCCGTTGATGGACACTTAGGTTGCTTCTATGTCTTGGCTATTGTAAGTGAACATGATGGGGGTGCAGAGATCTCTTCGAGTTAGTGTTTCCCCCTGAAGTAGAATTGCCAGATCATAAAGCAATTCTATGCTAACTTTCTGAGGAACCCCCATGCTGTTTTTACACAGAGACTGTACCAGTTTACATTCCCACAAACGGTGTAAAAGGGTTCCTTTTTCTCCACATCCTTGCCAACACTTGTCATTTCTGGTCTTTTTGGTAATAGCCATTCTAACAGGTGGGAGGCAATACACTTCACTGTGGTTTTGATTTGCTTTTCTCTGATGATTATTGATGTTGTACACCTTTTCATGTACCTGTTGGCTATTATTCTTCTTTGGAAAAATCTCTATTCAGATCCTCTGCCAATATTTAGTCACATTTTTTTTGTGGGGGAAGGAGAGGGTGTGGAGATACTGGCAACTAGGAGGGAGGTGGAATGATGGTACCTGCCAGTCTCCATCTATGGAGAATATTTCAGTAGGTACCTGGATGTGGGTTAAATTAGAGGCCTGCCCCTTGGGTTGAAGCTTTAAGACAAGCAAACAGGCTTCTTTCAAAGAGAGACTGGGCATTTCTCAGTTGGCTGTCTGCGGGTGGATAGCCAGGTGAGTCTTATGAGCCCTCTAAGAACTGTTTCATAGTTTTCTGTATCCTTGTGGGTTTCATGGATGCAAGACCCTCACCTTTCAAAGTTAGATGTTTTGGGGGCTCATCTCTCTAGTGCAGTTCTTAAAAGATGGGGTGCCAGATGTGGGGTTCAAACCCTTCACACCTCAGGGAACAGAGTTGTGAGTTCCTTCCTGATTGTGGGTGCTGTACTTGGAATAAGGTTTATGGCAAGATTGTGTCTCAGCCTCTCCAATAGTTTCAATGTGTTTTTTCTCATTCATTCAATATGTAGGAGTCTGTCAGGTAGTTTCTGAGTTTCTTTCAGAGGAATTTGTTTCATTTGTAGCTGCAGATTTGGTGTCTGTGGGAGGAGGCGAGTTCAGGATCCTCCTACATCACCATCTTGATCCAGAACTTGGTAAACTTATGTTTAATGTAATTAAAATACAATCAAGCTATCAATCTGATTTAGAGATTAAGTATGTTATATCAAAATTAGAAAGCATAAAATCCTAAATCCATTCCTGTCATTTTCAAGTTGTTTTCTCAGTCACCAAACTGCACTGTGACTTTGCCACAGGTAGATTCCATAAAATCCTAAACAAAACTCAACAACACCAATGTATTACTTTACAACAGGGTAATTATCTATGCAAGGGATTCAATAGTGTCTTGCCGTAAGGCAAACTACATGGGTAACAAAATTATAATCACAGGGTTGCTTGGGAGCATGGAATCAATTGATGGAGTCTTATCATTACTAATAACTGAATATTTATTGATCAGTTAGTATATTTCAGGTTCTATGCTAAGTGCTTAATGTGCATTTTCTCATTGAATCCTCACATCAACTGTATGAGGTAGGCAATGTTATTACCACAGCTTTACACGGTGAGGAAACTAAGGTATTGGATTATTCAACAACCTTCTCAAACTCACATAACCAACTATGTGGCATAGCCTAGCTGTGAGTCCATGCTAGTCTCCAGAGCCCACACTGAACCAACACCATACCCCTTACCTCAAAATTTCAGAACTATGGCCCCAACCGGTTTGGCTCAGTGGATAGAGCATCGGCCTTTGGACTCAAGGGTCCCAGGTTCGATTCTGGTCAAGGGCATGTACCTTGGTTGCGGGCACATCCCCAGTGGGGAGTGTGCAGGAGGCAGCTGATTGATGTTTCTCTCTCATTGATGTTTCTAACTCTCTATCCCTCTCTCTTCCTCTCTGTAAAAAATCAATAAAATATATTTAAATAATTTTTTCAGAACTATGGTTAGTTAATAAAAGGCCATTTACATTTTAAACTCTTCTCATTTTAAATCCTATATTTCACATTCCAAACCTAGAGACAGTTCTTCAAGCTAGGGAAGGCTGGGGTATTTGAATGTCACTGTTGCTGAACAAACACAGACCATGCTTAAATATGGAGTTTCTATTGGAGGGAAACCCCATACATCAGCCAAATAAAAGCTGTCTTCATACCTTCCATGTCTTTACAATATTCTGTCCAGGCACCATCAAACCTTTCCTTTAGAGGGGAGTAATTGTTTTACCAGAAGACACAATTTATTTTTATATGTTGAAATTGAAATATTGGAAAAAGACCAGTAGCTCCAAAGAGATGCAGAGAGAGCCAGTACTATTACATCAGGGGAACAAAAAAGTAAAATTCTGGAAAAAGCTCAGATAATAAACAAAGGAGAATAAAATCTGAGACTTGAGTTTTGTGGGCCCACCTGAAAACGAGGTAGAGAAATGTAAAGCTCCCCTTCCCTTGGAAATGTATCAGCTTCGCAAATGAAAAGCCTATGTCTGGCAAGAACTGGAACTGCATCTGCCGGGCACAATGCAGAGTCCACGCCGGGTGGGCCTCGGAGACGGCGTGTCCACTCCCTGTTCCCCCGGATGACCAGTTGCCACCTACTCTTCATCGGTGACAGACTGACAGCTATCTGTGACCCACAGGCTTCCGGAACTCAGCACGTACCAGATTCTCTTAGGACAGGTTGCTTAGGTTTCTGGGTGCTGCGGGCCATCCCCCAAACCTCAGGGTTCAGGTCTGCTTTGGGGAGAGAGGACAGCAACAGGTAACATTGTGTCCCACTCATCTTTGCTTCTCCCCAGAGAGGGGGACAAGCATGCCAGGCCTCTAGAATCAGACTCGCCCTCTTTTGCTGTCTTGGCCTGAAAGTCTGCAATCCCTATTAAAATACGAATGGCGTTCTTCTCAACTAGAACTAATCCTGAAATGTATATGGGATCACAGAAGACCCTGAATAGACAAAGAAGCCTTGAGAAAAAAAAGTGGGAGGAATCACGCTTCCTGATTTCAAACTGTACCAAGAAAGGTATAAGTATCAAAACAATATGGCCTAACAGATATATAGGTCAAGGGGGTAGAAAAGAGAGCCCAGAACGACTGGAACTGCATTTGGACAAGTGGCGTGCTCAAGGTTTTACATGGGCAGACGACAAAACAGCGTGGGCCTTCCTGTCCTCTTGGCCAGGCCCCTCCGAGGCTTCAGGCGGATCAAAATCTGAGGCATCTTCCTTAGCAAGTGGTGAAACTGTACCAGTGAATGTGACTGACAAATACCAACAATTTCCTTAAACCAGAACAATACCAAGAAGGAGGTGTTTGCTCCCATCACCCACAAACAAGGATATTCTTTGGCTGCCTATTGGGCACCAGTATGAAGAGAACCTTTCTTTCTATCTATCAAGTAACAATAACGACACTGTATCAGTGTTTTGAAATAGGGTTTCATGTTAAGCTAGAAAAAAACCCAAAAAACGACACCTCTGTGTTAAACCACAAGGGGGCAGGGTTGGTGTGCTGATGAATACATTTTTAAGTGAGTTGTGCATATCTCATTATAGAGCCAGCCAGCCAGATACACATTCTTTATAAGACCTCGTGTAAAGGGGCTTGTACGCCTTCCAAATTAATAATGGCAACAGCTATGCTATAGTTTGCATGCTATTCAACAGTTTACACAGCTCCTTCACTGGCAATGTTATGTCAGCACGATGAGCTCCTTCAGGGCCTGCTTTAATTCCGTCCTTGGTAAGTAACCTCAACAAATTTCAAAAATAGTGATGCAGTTCCGTGGAGCACAGTGCATGTTCAGTGACCCTCCGCCGTTGATGCTGGTGAGGAGAAATTTTAGAAAAGATGGGCAGAGTACACACTAAAGGACCAATACAGTCAGAAATACAGTAGAAAGGTTAAGCTGGTATGTGTCTCATGAGGGAAATCTAGTGGATAAATACTAGAATATTAAGCAAGAGAGCATCCCAAGCAAACCTTGATGACAATTAGAAAGGAGAAAGGCACAATAATAAGCTTAATAAATGTTATGCCCTGGCCAGTGTGGCTCAGTGGTAGAGCGTGGGCCTGTGCACCGAAGGGTCTCAGGTTTGATTCCTGGTTAAGGCACATACCTGGGTTGCGGGTTCGTTCCCCAGTCCCGGTTGGGGGCAAGTACGGGAGGCAACCAATCTATGTGTCTCGCTCACATCAATGTCTGTCTCTCTCTCCCCTCTCCCCCCCATCTCCCAGTCTCTAAAATTCAAATGGAAGAAATATCCTCAGGGGAGGATTAACAATAAGTAAATAAATGGTATTAATATGCTAGTGAAAAAGAAAGATGAAATTTTGTAGCATCTGCCACAGGGAATCGACCTATCCATGTACGTCTCAGCCAGTTAGACACAGTCCTGGGAGGTCACCAGTAACCTCTGTGTACTCGTGTTGGGCAGGGGGCACGGGAATGGGAAAATAGGTATGAAAGGTGGGGGGCACCCATTTTTTGGATTAGTGGTCAAGGAGAGCTCTTAATTCTCCTTGTACTCAGTCCTGTACCTCTGTGCTTCTTACTTTTCCCTCCTTGGTAGCAGGTGGGAAGCATCTACAAAGTCACAGGAATGATGCAATTATGCAGCAGGCACACAGTACAAGCCTCTTCAACACAAACATACCCCCCCCCCCCCACTGTGGCTTGATGTGGTAGCATAACTTTTGTGTCATTTCTCGATATTTCTTCCCCTAAGCTGTTCTGAATGGAGAAAAAATAACTTTAACTCTGGCAATGAAGAGCCTTCCACACCCACCCCGCCCAGAGAGACATAGGCTGTCAAATGAGCTCCAGTGAACTGTGTGTGACTCCATCACCACCACCAGCGGGTGTTTCTCTGGATCCGCAGCGTCGGCATCCCCCGGGGAGATGCTAACCATGCAGGACCCACGGAATCACACACACCCTGGGAGGGACCCGGAAATCCGTGTTTTAACAGACCCCCCGGTGAGTCGACTGCTGGCGTTTGAGAATTACCACTCTCCCCACATTCGGTCTGTCCATCTGTGATCAAGGCCAGAGAGCTGTCAAAAAACGGGCCGGGAGGATGCCCGGTGCCAGGCCATTTGGCAGCGTGAAGGGTGGGAGGGGTGAGAGCTAACGGTGCATCGGCATGTCCGATGTCCTCTGAGTCTGTGACATGGCCTGGCGGGTGACAAGCAAACTCGGCTCTTTTCTAACTGGGTGATGATGTAACAACCCGTTTTCCCGATCTTTTCCCAGCTCTCCAGGTCACTCAACATGTACAATGAGAAGTACTCGATATCACATCCCCACATTAAAGCAGCATACACCATACTCTCTCTTATATGAACCTACGGGCACTGCATTTCTCACACACTGCAGATGCTCACGCAGAGAATTTTAAACCGTTAGTTCTGTACGAAAGTGGGGCTGGACTGAGAAAACACAAATAGGGGCTTGCATTTTCTCAGCCCAGAGGCTCTGCTAGATGTTATATTTTGTAACAGGAACTAATCAGGAAATCGTACAAACCTAGGTGCACCTGTTTTATGTATTCAATCAGCGAGGCTTTGTTGGAATCCCAGAAGAATGGAAGCTTCTCCTCTCGAGGATATTTACAGCATGACAGCTCCAACGTAATTTCAAAGCACTGGGCCCAGATGTAGTTATAATCCTGCATTCCACCTAAGCACAAGCATAGTCAATATTTTTAAGGTTTAAAATTGGAGTGGAGCCAAGAGTCCCAGCCCTTGAGGACCAATGAATCAGACAGTTGCACGGAAAGTACACGTAAACAGGAAAAGGTGAAGTTGGCATATTAGCATATAAAATCAGGGCTTGGCAGCTCATTACCCAGGCATGACCGGGCAACCCTAAATCTTCCCATATGGGTAACCAGATCACAGCTGATTGAAGTTCAACTGTGCCCAAAATTAAGTGAGGGGAAGGGTCCTAGTTTGTAATCATACATTACAAAAAGAATGCTTCAAATTATCTTTCTTTCCTAAATTACAGATGTACACTACAGTGACACTTCTTTAAAAATATTCCTACAGCCCTAGCTGGTTTGGCTCAGTGTATAGAGCATCAGCCTGTGGACTGAAGGATCCCTGGTTCGAGTCCGGTCAAGCGCACACTGCCCAGGTTTCTGGCCAATGGAGGAGGGAGGGGGCAGCTGATCAATGATTCTCTCTCATCATTGATGTTACTCTCTCTCTCTCCCTCTCCCTTCCTCTCTGAAATCAATAAAAATATTAAAAAAATGTTTTTAAGCTAAGTAGTACACTAATTTGGAGGAATAATCATGGCCAACATTTAATGAGTGTTCACTATTGCTAGGTACTGCCTAAAGAGCTTTGTATCAACTCATCTAAGCCTCAGAGCAATTGTTACCCATATTTTACAGATGAGGAAACTTAATCAGAGATGGTGAGTAACATGCCCAGGGATTCTAGCCAGAGGGGGACAGACCAGGGCACGGGCTCCTGCTCGAGCCGCCGTGCTCTCAGCCATGACATCAGGCTGTTTCTGGGAAGGAAAAGGGCGCTGTGCTGACTCTCGAGAGGCAAGAGGCCCAGGCCCTCCTGCTCCGGGGTGGCTGGCACCCACACTTTCCAGTTCTTCTCTCTGGAGAGCCTGTTTTCAACGGGTTATAATCATATTTCATCTTTTCTAAGATGCAAAACTTTTCATATTTTAAGATCTCTGAATTGGGATGTGTCTAAAATTTGATGGCTAAAAAAATATCATTGTGTCATTAGTTTGGCTGGAAGCATTTCTTTCTTTCTCGGCAGTATATCGTATTTTACAATCAATGGCATTTTTGATGTGATGAGATAGAATATAGTAACTCTGAAGGAAGTAGTTTCTGCCAGATTTTAATTTGTTATACTTGATATCTGCCCAATAAAATATATATTCTTAACTCCATCAGGGTATTTGGGAAGTACTAAAGTAGAAAAAAATTTCATGCTAAAAAAATCGTCAAAATAAATCAAAATATTATTTGAATATTAAATAGTATCTATGTAGGTTCAGATTCCAGCCAGGAAGAATTTCTCTGTCCTTTCTATTTTTTAAAATAGAGTTTTGTATTTCTCCGACCTCATTTTCACCGTGAAATAGAAGAGGGGGAAAATGGAGAGAGAATCAAAACAAAAGCGCTTGGCGGATGGCTATGTCTCAGGTAGGTAGGACTTTAATGCTACAACAGGTGTGCAAAGCACGGGGGACTGAGAATGCCAAGTGTGGAGAGTGTGTGCACCTCTGGACAAGGCCCGTCAGGCCTGGCTGCCAAACATCCAGGCCGAGCCAGAATGCTTTGTTTCAAGCTCCTTAAAGTAGCTGGCTCTGCCTGCCTTTTCCTCTCCGAAGGATACACAGCTCATACACAGGCACACTTGGAACAATTCCTGGCAGCAAGATCGGGTTCCTCGCTAAATTCCCACACATCTGGATCTGCCAGGAAATGTGCACACAGCGTATCCGAGGCACAGCTCTGCCACTGGGCAGGAGGGGCCCTCTCCTCCCTGCGATGAGCAGGGATGAAGCTGGAGCCCCGAGCTGGAGGTGGGGAGGCTGTAGGACAGTGCAGAGAAGTCTGGGATGTTGTGGTATCTAGCTGGTCCTGCTGCCTAGCACTCATGGTCTATGCTTATTTCTATTACCTGGAAAGCTGGAGCAAGCCACCCAGACACCGCAGTGCCAGCGTATGCAAGACTTCTGATACCTCTGCACCCAGAGGAACAACCGGGGAAGTGGCCTGTGAGCAGAAGCTTGCAGCTGGGAGAGTCAGACCAGCCAGCCTCGAAGGGGGCACTTTCCACTGAGGCCATGGAAACCCGCTCCAGCACCCTGTTTTCCCTCTCGTCCTTCCAGCTCGTCCTTCCATCCTAGGTCCCTATTATCTCTCAGTTCCCAGACTAAGATGAGTTCTCTGACATCCCTTATATTAGGGCTTCTGATTATATTATTCCTTCTGATAGAGCATCCCCCTCCCATGTTCCCTACCTGGCAGTCTCCTTACCTTCCCTCCCTCACTGGCCATCCTGTTCTGAGGTTGGAAAACTGGAGGCCCCCCTCCCACTGCATCCAGTCTGAAGAGTATTTTGTTTAGCTTGCAAAGCGGCTTTAAAACCATGAGCCCTCATGTCCGAATCCAGCTTGTTGTATCAACTGGAAGATCTGGCAGCACTGGGACTCGCTGTGGCATGACTACAGTTCCCTGGCTCTAAGCCGCAGCTGTCCCATCAGATGAGACGTAAGCATTACGTTTCTCCAAGGTCTTTCCCACTTCCTCCTGTGTTTTGGCTCTACACCCCAGTACACTACCTTTTCTCAATTCTATTTTCATTTTAATTATACTGCCATTGCAATGACTTATTTGCATGTCACCCTTCCCTATCAAACTGAGGATGAAGAGCTGTGACCTGTTCATCTTTCTTGGCACCCCTTCCTGACTCATCGTAGAAAACGCTGAACAAGCATCTGAGTGAGTGAAGGCGGCCTTGGCAGTGAGGAACATGTCTGAGCATCTCTCAATCAGCCATCACCCCACTGCTCTCGTGATGGAAGGGACCGCACGGTGCCTAACACACATGACAACCAGCTGGTAGCCCTGGTGCAGGCACTAGGAGCTGGTAGAAATGGAGAGAAACTCACCTTTGAGTGGATACCAAGAGTACCCATTTGTAATCCCGTTCGGAAAGTTCATTTTGTTTTTACACTGATCTCCTTTCTTCATGTTGACATTTTTTGAGGCGTAGGCATTTGCAAGATATTGGAAAACATCATCATCGGGGGTCAAGCTCCGGGAGTGTAATGTCCCCGTTGCTGTATGTGAAAGACAAACCAAGACCACTGTGCTGACATTAGGGTCAGAGGCAGCACACAGTGCCATGAGCAGGAACACCAGCACTTCACACTCAGAGGCTCTCATTGCTTAGAGAGAAATCCTCTACCCATGTCCGTGAATGCCCCTCCCCTTCCTTCCTAGTGTGTAATGAGCACACACGAGGTGACAGCACACAGAATAAGCCATCTATAAATCCAAACTCCTCCTCCCTCAGCTAAACAGTTAAGTATCCTCTTAGTCACTCTTGCCGATTTTCAGAGGTCGGCCAAGTTTCCTCGGGTGTTGTAGGGGTTAAATGAAACCGCTGTCATGTTTTAGGTCCTGGGTATACCTCATCCTGCAGAGTTTTAAGAGGAGTCAGCAATTATTACTCATACTAGAAGCCTGGTGCACAGATTTGTGCACCAGTGGGGTCCCTTGGCCTGGCCTGTGGGGATGGGGCCGAAACCAGCTCTCTGACATCCCCCGAGGGGTCCCAGATTGCAAGAGGGTGCAGGCCAGGCCGAGGGACCCCACCGGTGCACGATTGGGCCAGGGAGGGACTGTGGGAGGGCTCCAGGGCATGTCCAGCCCATCTCGCCCAGTCCTGATTGGTCAGACCCCATCAGCAAGCTAACCTACTGGTTGGAGTGTCTGCCCCCTGGTGGTCAGTGTGCATCATAGCAACCGGTCGAAGGGTTGAATGAATGGTTGGACACTTAGCATGTTAGGCTTTTATTACATAGGATGATTAGCAAAGAAAGGTAAGTTCTAGTTTTATTTTCCCTTAGCTATGCTGCTTCTTGTGAGGTCATCGAAATCCCAATTTTACTGTTTTCACTGGTGAATGTCAAGCAATCCTGCTGTTGCTTGTCAATTCAGCCATACTGTCCAGCTACTGTTTATAATTTGTAGGAAGGATGTCTCAGGGTTGATAATATGAGGTTCTTTCTACCCCTGCCAGCAAAGTTACTAGGAAGAGAGCTTATCCCCATTCAGAGGCAGAGTTTACAGTTTCACTCTGGACTCAGCCAGACCCAGCCCGAGTTTGCTTACCTGAAACACCGTTATCAAATGGGTAACTGGCCACCAGGGCACCACCGTGGAGGTTTGCCGAGAGGACAAACGTCTCTGTTTTCAGCCACTCCATGATTGCCACAGTTTCAGGCTGCCTTGATTCATTATTAAATTCAAAAGCATCTGGGAAATTTCTATTCAGGTCATAGAAGTTATTATTTTCCCTTTAAAAGAAAGAATTTTGGGGGGTTTACTGATGGCATGTGCGGGAGTGGATTCATGCAATGTGTAAACATTTTGTTTGGGCTCCAGGGGATTTTCCAAATATGAGTGCAGGGCGGTGGACGGTTGCCTTGGCCGCCTCCAGGGAGCCACACCTGGCGTTCACACAACATGCAGCCCCCTCTCCTGCCACTTGCTCTCACCAGCGGACAGTAGCTACTGGGATGTAAGCAGAGGTTTGATGAGTATTTCCATTTGGGGGCTGTTGCTCTTTCCACTCCCTTTTGGAACCCCGAGATCCCAACGTTAGCCACGTGGAGAGTCCACACAGAGAAATGAGGAACCCACGGGACAATCGGAAGTGAGACTCCAGACATGTGGTCCCACGTTAGCTGTCTCAGTCTTACCCCAGCGGAGGCCCAGACAGCATGGCACGGAGCTTAGCCAACCCTAATCTCTGCTGCGCTGCCCAAATCCCTAACTCACAGAATTGAGAGTAAATAAAAAAGAGGTTGCTTTAAAACCCAACATTTTGGGGTGGTTTGTTACAAAGTACTTGATAACAGAAACCACTGGAAGGTGCTACTTGGAAAGGGTTCTGGCCGTGTTTAAATATGCTAGAGAACCTTGAAGGGGGTCACATAGTGAGATTTTATTTATTTTGGGTAGAAGCAACCAAACTTTTAGTTGCACGAATATAAATGTATATTAGACATTTGAGAAATTCCAAACTGCCCGAGGCAGCTTGAAACCAAATAAACTGTTTAAGTCAGAAATACTTCTTTCCATCCTGACAGTGCTCTCGCCAACATGGCGAATGTTCCTAAAACCCGCCGGACTTTCTGTAAGTGGCCAGCACCAACCCCACAAAGTGACACAGGGCGAGAAGGCCAGGGTTCTCCGGGTGCGTGGGGGCAGCGGCGTGGGACAGGCAGCAGAGTGGCTATGGTGGGCAGACTAACACTACAAAGAAGATTGTGCTGAGGCTTAAATGCGATGAACCCAACTTCGGATCTGAAAGAACGCTGGCCATTAAGAGATGCAAGCATTTTGAACTGGGAGGAGATGAGAGAAAGGGCCAAGTGATCCGGTTCTAAGCTTCATATTTTGTTTTATGATGAAGGAAAAATCTTGAGCATCTGTTCACTTAAAAAGAAAGTACTATAAGACTCACTCTTCTTTTTGATTAGTTCTCCTACTGGCTTAATAAATCCAGTGGTCATTATTGAGGGCCTTGGTACTATGCTGGGCCCTGGGGATTTAACAGTGACGAACACAATGGACAGGATTCCTGACCTCAGGGAGCGTATAGTTTAGACGTTACACAGGAAATGGGACATTGAAGATGGTGCTCTGAGAGTAAAGTGCAGGTGATATGGGCATCATTAGGGACCTAATGCCCGCTAGGCCAGGGCAGGAGTCTTTGAGGACGCGCTGTTTGAAGAGTGGGAAGTGCAGGGCGCCTGAGGTGAGAAAGAACCCCAAGGGCCAGAAGCTGCTGAAGCAGGTGAGGGAGGAGGAGTGGCGAACGAAGCAGTAAGGAGGGCACAGGAGTAAAGCAGCCATATTCGGATTTCACTTTTCATCCTGAAAGCAGCGGACAGGCAGCCCTGGAGAGGTTTCAGCGCGGCAATGATGTGGCTCTGAGATGGTCCCCTAACTCCTCACACAGGGCCAGGGACTCTCTTAAAGGGGGTGGGAGTGGGGAGCTTTTTGTTGTTTTGTTGTATTTTAAATAAAGATCGACTAGCCCCTCCTTACCTTCCATTAGTGTAAAAACAGTCAGGCTTTTTGACAGCTTCGAATCCATCTGGGTTCATTGAAGGCATGATGTGTATCCGGGTACTATTGATTAAACGGGTGATTTCAAGGTCTTTTCCATCGTTGGTTACGAGATAGTCAATTAAATGGAGCAGCAGTTCCCGCCCGACAGTCTGCATGTGGGAAAGGGGGTATCATTAGGTCAGAGGAGAACAGTTCAAATTCCCCAGCAAGGGGCTCTACACGTGGTAATGTTACCAAAACCAGTTGCGAGAGAGACCCGTTTCTCAAGCACATCGACACTGGAGAGTGGCTGTCAATCACAGGGTGCAGGAAATTATTCATTAGTACAAGTTCTTTTAAAAGTTAATTAAAAAAATACCCATCTGTTGCCTGACTGGTTTGGCTCAGTGGATAGAGTGTCGGCCTGTGGACTGAAGGGTCCCGGGTTCGATTCCAGTCAAGGGCATGTACCTTGGTTGCGGGCACATCCCCAGTGGGGGGGTGTGCAGGAGGCAGCTGATCGATGTTTCTCTCTCATCAATGTTTCTAGCTCTCTATCCCTCTCCCTCCCTCTCCCTTCCTCTCTGTAAAAAAATCAATAAAATATATTTTAAAAAATACCCATCTGTAAATAATTTATTTTTTTAAAAAGGATTAGAGTGAACCCAAAACACTAATTTGAAAGAATATGTGCACCCCAATGTTCACTGCAGCATTATTTACAATAGCCAAGCTACGGAAGTGACCCAACTGCATAGAGCAATAAATAAAGAAACTGTAATATGTATATATATATATATATATATATATATATATTTCTTGGTCATGAAATATTGCCATTTGCGACAGCATGGATGGACCTAGAGGGTATTATCCTAAGTGAAATAAGTCAGAGAAAAACAAATACATTGCCAGACGTGGGGTGGGTGGGTGGGGTCCTAACATATGGTGACAGGAGAAGATTTGACTTTGGATGGCCGGCACATGGTGCAATATACAGATCTTGTGACATAGCAACCCACACCTGAAACCTATATGTTCATGTTGACCAATGTTACCCCAATACATTTAATAAACAAATATTTTAAAAAAGGAAAAACAAATACCATATTATTTCACGTATATGCATGTGGAATCTAAAGAGCAAAATAAATGAACAAACAAAATAGAAACAGATTAATAGATACAGAGAACAGACTGAGGTTGCCAGAGGCGTGGGGGCCTGGGGATCTGGGTGAAAAAGATGAAGAAATTAAGAAGTACAAATGATAGTTATAGTCATGAGGATATACAGTACAGCATAGGGAATATAGCTAATAATTATATATGGTGCCAGGTAGGTACTGGAAATGCTGGGGGAACACTGTAAAGTATATCACTGTCTAACCACTACGCTGTACACCTGAAATGAATACAAAATAATATTGAATGTCAAACTAAATTAAAATAACGGAAAACTCTGTGTCACTACCATTTTGCTGGGTATGTTTCTAATGTACATTAAAATAAAAGCACTAGCCCGTTTGGGCTCAGTGAATAGAGCATCAGCCATTGGACGGAAGGGTCTGGTTTTTATTCTAATCAAGGGTACATACCTCGGTTGCAGGTTTGGTCCCTGGCCCTGGTCAGGGAGCCAGGGAGCATGCAGGAGGCAACCAATCGATGTGTCTCTCTCACATCGATGTTTCTCTCTCTGTCTCTTTCTCCCCCTTCCACTCTCTCTAAAAATCAATGGAAAAACATCCTCGGGTGAGGATTAACAAAAACTACAATTAAAAATAAAATAAAAGCATGACTCTGAAAACAAAATGGTCATCACATCCACCTAAAATTATCCTATGCAGCAATGATTGGAGAGATTTACTGTTTTGTTTTTTTTTAAGTGATTCACATTTTAGCCTTATTATGGAAAGATTTGATTATCAATTTCTCCCTGTAACCCTGGCTTCAAGGAGCCTGTTTCTGAGTAAGGAAGGAATGTCTACCTCTTACATAAGATCAGGTGCTGCTGAGGGTTTGGAGATGGGAAGCCGGGCAGCAGGAGATTAAATAGAGATAGTGCTGAGGAGGCATTAATGTAGGCAGTGAAGAAAAGACCCTTCCATTACAACCCCACTGTGGGAATGCATTGCTGTGACAAAGGATGAGCAATTCCTTTGCTCCTCACTGGCAAGCAAGCAAAGAGACCTCTTTTTATGAATTTTTTATCTGAATGAATAAACACAAAATAATTGGGATTAAGAAAATTTGGCATAGGCCAATTATTTATTCACAGGTAGCCATGACATTCAGAGTGGAAATATTCAATTCTGGCTTCGAATTCTTCCTGCTAGTTTCTATCTTTTCCCCCTACTGTGATTTTTGTTTTTACAATAAAAATTGTCACTTGAAAAAGTCCTTACAACCTAATAACCAGAAAAGTTAATCGAGTCATGCACTGGGTTTCCAATTCTGTGCTTTGGAAACTCAAGCACTTTTGGAAGCAACCTCCATGAGCCATCTACTGGCTACCCTAAAACCAGCGAGAGGGGGCTGGGGACTTTCATTTTCTTTTCTTTTAAAAAAAATAGAGTTTTTATTGATTTCAGAGAGGAAGGGAGAGATAGAAACATCAATGATGAGAGAGAATCATTGATCGGCTGCCTCCTGCATGCCCTCTACTCGGGATCGGGCCGGAAACCTGGACATGTTCTCTGACTGGGAATCGAACCATGACCTCCTGGTTCATAGGTCGACATTCCAACCACTGAGCAACACTGGCCAGGCCTCCAGTGTCACTTTTAAATGAAAGAAAACCTATGTTACTGGAGGAAAAAAAAAATCATGCTTTTCTGTTTGTTTCCATATGCCAAAACAAACCCCAACTTCTTCACTGCAGAGGGTAAATAAAAATCTTGGAAATACAATAAAACACTAGCAAAGAGTCAGATGATTTAAAAAATGCTGAGGTAAACAGATGAAATTTCAGAGAGAGCTAAACAAAGTCCTCTTTTTTTGGCTGGGCCCTATTTTTGCTGCCTCTGTAACAGCAGATTTATGCCAAATAATATTCAAATTAATTCTTCCCAACTTTAATATAAATGTCTCAAACACTCATGTTTTATGTATAAACTTCCCTTCATTTAAAATTAAGTCTTTGGATATGAAACCTTAGAGAGTTCAAATATTAAGAAAGAATGTGGTCAAAACAGTGTCCAGTATCTTAAGCAGCCTTTCATTCGGCCGCTCACTTCCTTCTGGGGAGGGTGGACTTAAGGAGAGACTCCCTAATTAAGAAAGCGAAAGGCTGAACACACCAGCTCCGGCAGCCTTTCCCTCATAACTCATCCGGCCATTGAACCGGCCATAACACAGAAAACAGAAAATAATGCCTCATCCGTTTTCATTCAGTTCGGTCATGCTGGAATTTAGACAGATAAAACTGAGTGTGTGAGCTCTTTCAAGAATGTTTATAAACAATGAAAACATTTTTGTAGGAGCAACCCATGACACAGGCAGTGCTGTGTGAGAGGGAGTGTGAGCAGCACAGGAGCGTCAGCGATCCCATGCTGGAGTCTGTCTGGGAAATGGTACACTCTTAGCTCTGAGTGCCACAGTGGTGTTACAGATTTAATCTACAATTGACTGACTAAATCCTCTTCAAACAGCCTAAAGATGACTGTGTCGGCACACTTTTACCCGGCCTCCCAGCCTACGTGGTCCCACAGCTCTGCACATGTGTGCTATCCCAACACTGCTCACATAGGTACAATGGCCTGACCGACCCTGACTGGCCACCCTGCCCCACTCCACCATCTAGACCTGGGGGCAGGGATCCTGCTCGCTTTCTCGGTGGCCCTGGGATCTTACCCAGCTCCTGGTATATCATGGACTCAAAAATTACTGTCGACAAGTCTGTTCCAAGGTCAAAACTATGCCAGGAGGAATTTTCTGAAAACATGAGGACTTCAGTCCCTTAGTGAGGGGAGACATACAAACGCTCAAGTTATTTCCTTTGAAGGATTTTCAATATTAAACAAACTGCACAGGGAGGGGGCTAACAGTTCTGCTCATGCCGAAGGCTCAGAATTTCTGGTCACCTAGCCCAGCCTCACCAAAAAGGATATATATATATATAATATATATGCCTAAAAGGGATGAGATACTTCATCTGGAGTAAAGATTAGTTCTATCTAAATCCAAAAAGAAGATTTAGCCCTAGCTGATTTGGCTCAATGGATAGAGTGTCGGCCCATGGACTGAGGATCCTGGGTTTGATTCCGGTCAAAGGCACGTACCTCGGTTGCAGTCTCGATCCCTGGCCCCTGTCGGGGCATGTGCGGGAGGCAACCAATGGATGTGTCTCTTTCACATCGATGTTTCTATCTCTCCCCCTTCTTTCCACTCTCTCTAAAAATCAATGGAAAAATATCCTCAGGTGAGGATTAAAAACAATAAAAAACAAGCGAACAAAAACCAAAAAGAAGCCCTAACTGGTTTGGCTCAGTGGATAGAGCGTCGGCCTGCGGACTGAAGGGTCCCAGGTTCGATTCCGGTCAAGGGCATGTACCTTGGTTTCAGGCACATCCCCAGTAGGGAGTATGCAGGAGGCAGCTGATTGATGTTTCTCTCTCATTGATGTTTCTAACTCTCTATCCCCTCCCTTCCTCACTGTAAAAAAATCAATAAAATATATTCTTTTAAAAAAAGAACAAAAAGAAGAACTAATTATCCAAAGCCACACTGCAAAACTGAGGATATTCTCCTACCATCTGGGATGGGGTGGAGGAAAAATGTGGGAAGTGGCATTTGGAAGGACAAGCTCTAACGCTTTAATCTTTTGTTTTGTTTTACTAAGTTTGGAACCTCTGCTGCATGCTGGCTACACATCCCAGACTGTCTGGGACAGGCACGGCTTCAGATAGTATGTCCTGTTGTTCAGGGAAACATGAGCATATCCGCTAAATGCAAACATTTAGACATACCAACTGCATCTCATAGGCTGTCTCATATCTAGAGCGCGTGTGAAAATCACTTGTCTTTAAAGTTGAAAAATAGGGTCACTATTATGCAGGGAATGTTTTTCCCTTCAACCCATATATCTGGAATACAAATTAATTATATAACTTAATGCCATCAAATGTGAAATTCTAAGTGTGATGTGGACATTTCAAAAGTCTATACCCAAATA